AACTGCTTCTGTTTCACACAAATGCTGGCACAGACGTGCATGTTCGGCTAGAGTCGCTTTGAACTCGTGCATCTTCGGAAGCGGAGCTGAGCGGAAAGTTACAAAAAATGACGTGCACACCGCCACGCGAAACAACGTCGCGCGCACTCAAAGCGAACTTCCACCAACACCGCGATGATGTCATATTTGCCGCGTGCACCTAAGCAAACTTGCGGACGCGTCGAGTTACTAAATTCTCGTGTATCGTGATACGTACCGTATCGTGGCCTCTGTATCGTGATATGTATCGTATCATGACTTTGCTGGTGATACACAGCCCTAGTGGTCGGTAACTCTGGTGTAATTTGAACGGGAGCGGGCGGTCTAACAATATCCCGTTCCCGACGTCCATACAGAACAGCATATCTGTGCTTTATTCTTATTGTCCACCGGTACAGCCTGCACTCGAACTGTTATGCACGCGCTGCACGCATGCTTTCTACTTGGTTTATTTGCGGGGTTTGTGTGCAGCATGTGCATAACGATGATCAGAGCAGGCTGTGCCAGTGGTAAATATACGGCCCTCAGACAGAACAGGCAGGTTGTTGATGAGTGACAGAGCAGAATAAGGATGGAGCAAAGTGTGGATTCTCAACTCGGTTTTGTTTATATTTTGCTTGGCCTATAATTTTAAATGACAGATGTCATATTTATTTATTTTTCTCTGCGACTTTCCTACTATGTTAACAGAAAAAGGTCAAACGAATTTAGTATTTAGACAAGACGAATAAAAATAGCTAATAGGCTACTTTTGTACAACCTACATTTTTATTTTTTTTTCTCTTTGCGACACTTTTCCTATTGTGTTGTAAATGTTAAACGAATTGTATCCTGACAAGACGAATAAAAATAAGAAATACAATTTTTGTACAATTTTATTTTCTCGGACACTTTTTTCCTACCGTGTTACATAAAATATTAAACGAATTTTGTGTCTTAAGATAATTAATATAAATTCAAGACTCTTCACAAGATGAATAAAATAGCCTACAATTTTGTGCAGACTACACTTTTATTTGTTAGCCTATCTCTCTTTCTTTCAGTAGCGGAAATTTAAATGTGAGATCTGGAAACGAGATCTAAATTTAGCGGGAACAGTCGGGTCGGGAAGAAAATTATTCTAAGCGGACAGTGGGTGAACAAAGAGTGAATATATAGCGGGAGCAGGTGGGTGCATAATATAACCTTGCGGGAGCGGGACTAAAAAAATAGTCCCACGCAGACCTCTAGCTTGCACCTAAGGTGAGCTGTGCTTAATGCACCGTTCAGCTGCTGCGGGTTCATGAGTCCGCTGACCACACGTGTTAATGTTAAGTGTGCGATCTCAAGGCGTTTTCACATTCCTACAAATGCAGTGATGAGATAAAAGCAGAGGCCTTAAAATCTTAAAACAGAGGCCTGATGTTGTCCTCAATTTAGCTGTTTAGCAAACTATGTGTGAGTGTCTCTGTGGGCTTGTAATTAGTGTGTCCTAGGAGAAAGGTATGTAGAAAAACAGGAAGACTTGCTCCACTGGTTTTCCTCCTTTCATTTGGATTTACCTGTCTGACAAGGTAAAAACATTCAGCTTAGAACACAATGCCTGACTGTGTTTCTGTACTCAACGTCATCTGCCATCTGGTTTCTCATGATTTTATGTGGATCTTCTATCACTATTGTGCCCTTCTGTGCTTAACCCCAGGTTAATCCGGGGGACTGACTGTGCAGGGATGTAGCAACGATAAGAAAAATGGGGGGACATTTGCCCAATAGATTTACTTTTATTCAACAAGGACACATTCAATTGATCAAGAGATAGTAAAGATTTTAAAAATGTTACAAAATAACATCTATAATGCTACAAAATATTTAAATTTCAAATAAATGCTCTTCTTTTGTACTTTGTATTCATCAAAGAATATAAAATGTATCACTGTTTCCACAAAATGTTTCCACGAAAATATTAGGCATCTCAACTGCTTACAACTTTGATAATAAGAAATGTTTCTCAAGCATGAAATCAGTATATTAGAATGATTTCTGAAGGATCATGTGCGCTGAAGACTTGAGTGGTGGTTGCTGAAAATTCAGTTTTGCCATCACAGTAATAAATTGCATTATAAAAATATAAAAATAGTTATTCTTTTAAATTGTGATAAAATTTAACAGTATTACGTTTTTTTTTTCTTCTCTCAATTACATGCAGCCTTGGTGAGCATAAGAGACTTTCAAATACAATTTAAAAATTGCCCGAACAGTGCTGTAAATTGAAAATAATCTTGCAAAATGTGGGAAGATGTACATATATTTTTTTTTCTAAAGTGGTTGCTATGCCTATGGTAGGAAGTGTATTGAAAGTTGCTTTTAGTGAGAAAGCATCTGCTAAACAAATTTAAACAACAAATAGGTGCAGATGTCCAATGATGTACTGTTGTTTGTGTATGTGTATTCCCACACCCATCCTTTAATCAAGCACAACAGATGTTTTACAATGAAACCTGAATACCCACTCTTCCAGCACACTGTTGATGTATGTATTGTTTGGTTTGGTTTTCCCAGGGCTCTTTTTGACTACGACAGGACAAGGGACAGTTGCCTCCCTAGCCAGGGCCTGAGTTTCTCCTATGGGGACATCCTGCATGTCATCAACGCCTCCGATGATGAGTGGTGGCAGGCACGGCTGGTTACACCCCATGGGGAGAGTGAGCAAATTGGTGTCATACCAAGCAAGAAAAGGTACAGTACTGCCAAGAAGCCCAGACAGAATTACAGCATTTCCCCTGTAGTAATGGAGAGTGTTCATTGCCAATCATACAAATTTGTTTTTTTTTTTTGATCCAGAGTGGAAAAGAAAGAGCGTGCACGGTTAAAAACAGTCAAGTTCCACGCAAGGACGGGCATGATTGAGTCCAACAGGGTGAGTGAGTCGTCCTCCTCCTCCTGTGAACTGCTCATGGGAGCTGCCCCACTTCCCCTGAGTGTGGGAATTGGTGGCTTCTCATAGTATCCTGGAGGCTCCTGTTACTGAGCATCTCATTTCTCACAGCCACACAAACAAAAGCGTACAATTACAAACATGCACTGTGCCATCATAATCAGCTATGATGATTAGATCAATTCCTCTCAGTTCTGGTCCTGGAGGCCCCCCCAATACTTCACATTTCTGATGTTTCCCTCACCTGATTTAACTTCTCTGCTCATTAATAAAAAAAGCGCTCACTAGCCCTATTCGGATGGGACTAGTTTTCTAAACTACGTTTAAGTTTCGATTCTTATCACCTGATGTCTCTGATTTTCATGTACCAGTTCAGACGGGACTAATAATATCTTCGTGTTTATAACAGATGTGGGAGGGTCAGTTTTGTACACCTGGCTGTTGCAGAGATCACGTGCTCTGTATGCGTGCATTGTGTGTAGTCATTTGGATTGATTACCATTAGTATAACCAGTTTTACTACAAATACCATAGTTCAGCTATGGCTAGTATAGCAAAGCTATGGTTAATTTTTGGTTACTTTAACTTTCTTTTTTTTTTAACCATGTTTAATTTTCGTAAAGGTTCATATGTAATTAAAACATTATGTAATTGAGTGCAGGAATGAAGCTGAGTTATCTTACCTGACTGATATTACAGTAGCCAGTCTTAACAATTTACGTGATCTGGCTCTTGATTTTATTTATTTTTTATTTCTTTGCTGGGAGGCAAACATATAAAAAAATGTGCGCAGTAGTAAGAGTGTCTACGGCAGGGGTGTGAATCGTCACTGGTTTCACAATGCAATCCGATTACGATTATCATGTCAACGATTAGATTCAGTATCACGATGCATCACGATTATATCAAATTTATTTTGTGAATTTGTATTAAATTATATAAGCAGGCTACTTTTTAAAATAATTAATAATAAATAAAAAAAAACTTTAAAAATGTAACCAACTAAATATAGCTTCAAAACATACAAGCAAATACAAAGTAATAAAGGGGGAAAAGGACAATTACAAGTGATAAACAAAAAGTACTTCTGGGTTTTTCTTTTTTCCTCCGCATTATTGCTGTTTGATTACTGATGAGATCATAGACACAGGTTAATAGGTTGCATTCACACTAATGCACAGATCTGTTTCGACATGTCAGATGTTTTGTCCTGTTCTGAAAACATAACTGACTGTGTTTAGGCCTACATCAATTTCATATCATAAAAGTATTCGGAGATGTAAGTGCATTTAACCACAGCCGTGCTTCAGTACAACACTGAAATAACAGTGAGTGGAAACACAAGTCAAGCAATGCACACGTGTGTCTCATAGCGCACATATTCTGTGCAATGAAGCCCGCCGCGATTGTCTCTAGCGCACATGTGCCACTATAAACTTGTTTTTTCCAAAAGTGTGCCCAGATCTCAAATTTAAAAATAGTGGGTAAATTTTTTAATACTGGCGTGATAAGCGCATATGCGAATGACATCAGTAGGCTATAATCGATTACAATCTATTACTGCATCGATGCAGAATCCTCCACGTCCGCATCGCGATGCAGTGATTAATTTCAACACCCCTAGTCTACGGTTGTTCACACTGCCCAAAACACAAGAAAATGTGTTGTGAAAAAAAAATCACAGACATTCGCATTCGGACAGGATTAGTGGAATTATTACAGAGGTTTTGTGAGAAAAACACAAAATTTGTGAAACAAATTTCTCTAACGACTCCCTGTAAAACAGTCCTGTCCGAATAGGGCTTATGACCTGAATTGACTGTTGGGGGCCCTCTAGAACCAGGATTGAGAAACACTTTATTGTATATTAAAAGGGTAGTTCACCCGAAAATAACAGTTGTCATTTATTTACCTTCATGTTATTACAAACATGTATGATTTTCTTTCTTTCATTAAACACAAAAGGAGATGTTTGGCAGAGTGAACGACATAAGGGTGAGTAAATAATGACCAGATTTTATTTTTGGGTGAACTAAACTTTTAAGGGTGAAGTGTGTTTAAAAAAAAATAATTCTCCATATGGCATATTTGTACATTACCGTTCAAAAATAAGGTCAGTAAGATTTTTAAAAATAAATTAATACTTTTATTCAACAAGGACACATTAAATTGATCAAAAGTGGAAGTAAAGACATTTATAATGTTATAAAAGATTTCCATTTCAAATAAATGCAGTTTTTTTTTTTTTTTTACTTTCTATTCAAATAATCCTGAAAAAAATGATCATAATTTTCACAGCTGTATTCGGAATTGATAATAAGAAATGTTTCTTGAGCACCAAATCAGCATATTCTAATGATTTCTGAAGGATCATGAAAAATCTTTCAGAGCCCAACATTTTTGGTGGTGTAGTTGAATCTGCACATTTAACCGGAAGACAAAAAAGTATTTTAACAAAAAATATTGCACACTTCACTTTTACCAGGGTTTTTTTTTTTTTCTTCTTCTGCAATTTGTGCAATGAAGATATTTAACATCTTTCATTGTTCTGTTATGTATTCCCTCTGTTACATTCACAGTTAAAACGTCAAAACTTAAAATGAACTTTAATTTAATTGAATTTAAATGTTGTTTAAATTCATTATCCCCACTTGTTTGTGCGACCATGTCATCTTTGGTTTTATTTTTGCATGTGTGCTGTGAATTACATTGAAACCCATTCTTGTGTTTTTTTTTTGTGTGTTTGTTTCATTCCTCATCCCCATTCACCCACCATTGGCTCGTGTCCACGCAGCCAGTCAAAGTGAAGCGCAAAAAAAGCTTCAACCTATCACGCAAGTTCCCGTTTTACAAGAGCAAGGAGAATATAGTGCAGGAGTTGGTGGAGACTGAACGTGAGTATGAGCTTGTGGCGAGGGCTCTGACTCTGTCCTTCATGCTTCATCCTGTCACTGTCACTCACCCTGGAGACGGCTTCTGATTGGCTCTTGACCTTTCTGTGAGGAAACCGAGCAAATCAGGGCCTCCCTGGCCTTTGTCTTGCTCTGAGGGGGACCTCAGCACTTCTCACAGGTGTGAGGCTGCACTAACACTCAAATGCTGTGCTAGAACATCCATCAGTGTCAGAGCTGTTTAGAGCTGCTCCCTTCAGCATTTTAACTTATAATTTTGTTACTGATGAATCTGCATGGGAAGCCCCTTAAATTACAAACGGACAACCCAGATCTTTCACCGCACAGCAAGGTGATGTTAGTATTGCTTCATCCCTCGAGAGTGCAACACCTCTCTTCTCCCAGCCTCTCACTAACCTTTCTTCTTCCTTTCTGCTCTCTCTCTTTGTTCTTGCTTTCACCTGTCGGGACGCTCAGGACTTCCCAGGGTTAAGCGATGACTTTTATGGATCAAAGAGTTTGAGTAAGTGTGTGGTTCCTCTTGTCAAGCAGCTGTTCCCTGAGCTAACTGAACCGGCTGTGCCACACACCACACACATTTGATTCTTTCTTTCTGTTTCTCTCTCTTTCTCACAGAATCTCCTCTCTACCTTAATAGTACCTTAATCTGCTTTTTGAAAGTATTATTTACCTGTAATGAAAGTATTACCTTAATAGTCATCTGCTTTTTGAAAGTACATTATTTGACATTCGCAGCTCATTTTAGTGACACATTTCAGAGTGAAACAATATGTTTAGCATCTAAAATGTAGGACTTGATTATATCCATCAAGTGTCTATTAGAAGGTGAAAAGTGGGTGTAACGTACCAATATAGAGCCAGGCCTAATGTGAGTTTGCTAAAACCATGCTTAAAAAGAGAGTTATAATTTGGTTAACTTTATCCAATAATCTGTATGGCCTACGTGAAAATAAAGCAATTACAAGTACAAATTATTACATTTTGAAAGATGTAACCCTGTAAACAGTTTGAGCCTTAGACAAAAATAAATAAATAAATACAAATCTTAAAATAAATAGGCTTTTTTTTTGTTAAATATCATATGTGATACGTCAGGCTTTTATGGCTCATACAGTATATATAGTGAAAATAGGTAGCTCATACATGAGGAGTAAAATATGTAAAAATATTGCAATTTGGTGCAGATGCTGATATTTATGACCAAAAAGGCAAGATAAAAATTCTGATAGCTTATAATGTAAATCAATATCTTTATAACAGACTACTTACATAAAATGCAAATAAATATTGTCACTCTCTGTCTCCTAATAATTTTAAGAGGATGATATTTGCTTAGTTTTATGATCAAAGCTGTGAAGTTTTTATTGCATTTAAAACATATAATGCAGTGCAATACAATGATTGAGAGAGGTACAAATAAATGTTTCTTAAAAGCCTGGTGTATCATATACATTGTAACATGGCTTTTCTAAAAACCTAAGTTGCTTCTGTCCAGTAAATGTTGATCTTGAAAAATTACTAAAAATATAAGTTATTCTTACGTTTACTTTATAAAAATCAGTAAAGAATTCACAGCAAGAGACTCACAAACCATGACCTGAAAGGGACCATTTTTAAACACATAAATCATTCACACATAAATATTCTTAAATCAAAGATCTGATTGTCATATGATACACTGAAGGGAGAGTGAATCCACGGTAGACCTCTTGAGGTCCCATAGTGTCTTCAAAGCCAGCTCATACTGGGCTGGATTGAGTGTGTGTTTAGTGTTTTTAATGTTTTAATCATGTTGTCGTCACTGTATCTAAGGTATGTTTGTAATTTGATTCCTGTAAGGAATCCAACACTGGCTTGTTTACTTTGGCATGAGGAGCAGTATCACTGTCTGATGAACCGGACACTGGCAAGGTCATAGGAAACGCTCAGCACGGAATCTAAGATCACTAGGGTCGTAGGAAAAGGAAATACTTAATTTCCTATTGCTGCCTCATCCTACCATTTCCCTTCTAAGGAAACGGCAGCCATTTAAGTGCCCAAAAGTTCTCTCTGTTTGTTTTCCTCTCTTCACTCAGCCTTTTCTATTCTTGGCATGATGGTACGGGAGGGTGTATAGTTTCATTCCGAGCTGTGCTGGATATACTATTAGTCTTACATATGGGCGAAAATGTGCATTGTGACATTTCTAAACTTCACTCATCTTATATCCACAGAATGCTTGACGTCCAACACCAGTGACAGTGAAAGCAGCTCCAGTAAGTGCCTCTAAACATCCATTTTGTGCTTACAGCATTAAATCTTTACCAGTGTGTTCTGCAGAGGTGCAACATTCCATTTGATCAGTGTCATGCTATTAACCTTTAAATGCTTAAAAAAAACTGATTCATAGCTATGATCTATGTCACCTACAAGTTCATTCCAGTGGTATTTCAAGTGGATTGTGTTTGTATTGAATGATGATAAATGAAACCTTCATATTTCATATGGATATTTTTATCTTTTCTCGTCATGCAGAGGGTCAGGAAGACACAATTCTCTCATATGAGCCAGTAATTCGACAGGAGAGTAAGTATTCCGAATTCTATATTTTGTATAAAATAGTCTCACGCTTAATCCTGGTTTTCACTGCCCACATGCCAACACACAACAAATTCCAACGGTTATGTTTTTTGGATTAGTTGCTGCATTTTACAAGCGCAGTTATGATCTAGTTTTTTGTGCGGCCAAGCTACAATCTACTTTTCTCTGCTCAAGTATACATGACACAAGTTGGGTGTGTTTGTGTTTGTTGTAGCAGTGTAAGCTATCAAAGTTAAACAGACTGTTTTTGCTTTAGGATTTCTATATGTAAATAACCTCTTTTATGATGCCTTTATTTCTTAACGTGAAGTGTATGTGCCATAGTTAAAGCTGTTTTTCATTAGGGTGGGTCGAGGTGTTAAATAAACAATAGTTGATATGCAAATATGAACGTCATCTGATAATGTGACCATTTGTAAATGTGTTTGCAGTTTAGTTTTCTTAAATGGTCTGTGTGGACTGGGGAGGGAGCTTGT